TGGAAACTCTCCAAAGACTTCTCCACACAGCGCGGGCGTTTTCCTGTACAGGCAGGATCGAGATATTTAAAAACTGCTGGGCACAGCAGTGTTTTGGTGTAAAGGTGGAGGAGTAAACGCTCCTCCACCTTAAAGATTCTTTCAGGGTTTAGGATGAATTGACTGGCTGAATCGGTAGAATTCAGTAATTTCTCGTAATGTTAGGACTGGATTGAGATCGAGATCAGTTTCGGAAAGGTCTGAAGGCGTTCCCCGGAGAGTGAGCGCGCAGGCGGCGGTGTCCGCCGTTTTGTTGCCTTCGAGGCCCATGTCAGCTGGAGGCCATATGATCCTTCGGGACGTGGGGACCCCGACGTATTTGCTGTTTTGTAAGATGCGGTACGACAGGTGTGGGACATACCCTCGTTGAATATTTTGGCAGGCCCCTCTTGAGTCTGTAATGATGACGCGTGAGTTCAGGTCTGCCGCAGCTAGTGTGATGGTGACTTCCTCCGCATATGTTGTGCCCTGTGCTTTGAATGTGAGGCCATTCACCGCGACATTTTGGTGGACGACTGCAGCCACCCCCCATGGTGAGGGCTGGAGGTGTTCACGTAAAATACACCGTGTTTGTTCCCATAGTGGTGAGCTAGTGCCTCCGCCCACGCTAGGCGCCTGCCAATGGGGCCATCACGTGTCATGTTGGCCGGAAGAGGGTGCACATGCAGGGCGTATCTCCAGACTTATGGAATGCGTACGCGCTACTTCGTCTCAGCTGGATAGTTGATGTGTAGTCGGGCTAATAGGCGGCGACCCGACGGAGTCTTTGAAAGTCTCGTGTATTGATGGGTAAAGTGTTCCTCCTGCAGCTCTGCAGAATTGTTTACCATCCCCAGGTCCATAAGGCGCTCGCTGGACATGGTTATTGGGAGATCGAGGGTACACTTGTACATCTTCCTGAGAATCACCTCAAGGGCATTCTCGTCGAACTTGCGCAGGTAGAGGTAAGGAGCCGAGTAGAGGACTTGACTGGTTACGAACGCATGCGCCAGCCACAAGGCGTCTCTGCAACGTACCCCCCCCCCCCCCCGTGCTTGTTGGAAACCTGGCGGACCATACGGCTCACCTGGACACCAATCTTACGCAGTTTTGTCAATGTTGTATCGACTCGGCGATGCTTGTGAATAAACAGACCCAGTGCTCTGATCTCATCGTGTTCTGGGATGGGTACTCTTTGCAAGGACAGTTCAATTCTAATAGCGCATTTTGGCGAGGAGAAAATGTGCACAAATTCCGCTTTGGTCGGGGAGCATTGAAGGCCGCGGCGGCAGGCGTCCACGATCTCCGCCGCTTGCTGCAGGTTGGCTTTTATGCCTCCTACCGATCAGTGTTTAGCCCTTATGGTAATGTTGTCGGCATAAAGTGCGTGTTGTATGCCTTCAACATTCTCCAGCAGAGCCGGTAGACTCATCATAGCCAGGTTAAACAGTAGGGGTGAGAGGACAGCGCCCAGTGGGTACCTCTCGTTCCTAATTGGTAGGGGCCGTGTTTTTCATTTTGTATTCGGGTATATGACTGTCGGTCAAAGACAAATTGTCTAATGTATCGAAACGTGTTGTGTCCACAGTTGGTTTGGGAAAGGTGCGTCAGGATGATGTCATGTGAGACCTTGTCGAAAGCTCCCTTCAAGTCGAGGGCGTGTACTGCCTTGTCATTGAGAGGGTAGTCGATGAGATTTAGAATTTCGCGGTCTAACTGAAGGAAGACAGGAATCCTGTGCGGATTGGTGCGGGTGGAACCCGAAAATGGTGTCAAAAATACGTGTTGGTTCTCCAAAAACTCACATAGCCGATCTCGCACCATCGTCTCCATCAGCTTTCCAGCACAAGACGTGAGAGATATGGGGCGAAGTTTATCCGTGTTTATGGCTTTGCCGGCTTTTGGAATGAAAGTGACCAGGGCACTTTTCCAGTCGATTGGGAGGGGTTACCGGGCTGGGTTCCCACCTAGGATCTGGTTGAGAGACCATGTATCTCAGCAACTTCTTTGACCTGCTGGATCGCCCAGAGTTGATTATCCAGTCCTGAGCTGAACAGCGCGGTCCGCCAACGCTCTCGAAGGTCCTCAATGGAGGCCGCGTCTATCGTTTTGCCAATTAGTGCTGGACACTCCCAGAGAATATGCACTAGTGTGGCCCTATTACTACAATACTTGCACGAATCGGTTATATACAAGTCGGGTTAAATGTGTTTCATAATTACGGGATTAGTGTATGTGCCTGTTTGTAATTGCCGCCATGAAACGGACTAGGCCCAGTTGAGCTTGGGGTGAGGCGGGGAATTTTGCCGTTGTTGAAGTCTATATTATTGGACAATGTCGTTGAATGTGGTAAATCTATCCCCCCCTTCCACTCTTCCACAGGAGAGTCCGTATGGGTGGTGTACACCATTGACGTGGCCCGGAACGTCAGACCTCGAGCCACGTCATGCGCCACCTCGTTAAGATTGACCTCCGTGTGGTCTATGGGTGTGTGGGCGGGAAACCGGAGAATTCTTGCATTTCGGTCGACAGAGTGGGTTTCGTCTTTAGTAAAGACTTTCAGCGCCACTGGAGAAATCCTACCATTTGCGAAATTTTGGACTGCTGTTTGTGAATCACTGATAATATACTGGGCATCGGTGTGAGATATGGTGGGCGCGATAGCGACCTCCTCTGCTGTATCCACGTGATTTGTATTGATTGAAGTAATGACTATGCATTCGTGCGTATGGTCTACAACCGCAGAAACAAAACGGCGAGAGTTTCGATAACTGTGACCCAAACCTTTTTAGAGGATCCGAATTTCCTCACTTCGACGATGGTGCCTGCTCTCCATTGCACCTACCTCTCGAAGTGATTCAGTGGTGTCTGAGTTGCTGACGACGATGACGCCATGGGCACATCGTGGCCGTCTTGTCGTAGGTATCCATGAAGCGGGATCACCCCACGCTCAGTGTACACCGAAGAATTCCCGAGAAGCAGATCTACCGCCGCCCGGCTCGTGGTGCGGATCAAGACGAGGTTTTGTTCACGACACGGCACATTCGTGACCGACTTCGCCAACTCGGGTCGGAGGTGGGCCGAAAAGGCGGCTCCGTAGTGGTTTTCCGAGAAGGCTTGGTGCAGCGACTCATGTTCTCGTGGCTTGAGAACGACAACGATGTCGTCTAGGCCTGGTTTCGGGATTGGGCGAGGCCTCCAGTTCGTAATAGCCTTGCCTTTCCTCCTGCAGCACGCAATACTGGAGGCTGCGTCTTGCCGGCCAGTGTTCCAGAGGCAGGGATGGTGTTGGACGCCACTGTATTTGCTTGAACGGACGCGCGACGCGCGACCACTTCATTCACCGATTGGTGCCAAAAACTCGGAACAGCGGAGTTGTTGCCTTGAGAAGATGGAACTGTAGTCCAGGCCGTGCCTTCGGGATCGTAACCCCGCAGGTGAGACGTGGTGGCTACCATGTTACCTCGGGTGGCCGGTGCGACACCGTCGGCGTTCCAGGCCACCAGGTTCCGGCGTCGCCGTTAGGCGTAATGGCGTCGCCCCCGTAGCCGGGTGAACTTCGGCCGTAAAAACTTGAAACGTGGACCCTCTGGGTCAAACTTGATTCCAACTGGGTCCAGATGATTTTCTGAGTCGATGGACGTCGGGCTTGGTGGAGTGCATATGATTGAGCCGTGGCTTTAGCCTAAAATTGATGGAGCCGATGCGCCGCACGTCTTGCTTCATCGCGCGCTCGCAGTGCCTCTCGACGCTGGGGTCGATGTAGTGCGGCCGTGCCCAATCATACGCCGTTCTTTATTGCGCACCCAAGTTGAAAACAGCTAAGGTCAACGCGCATTCAATGCATCCACGAACGGCGCTAAAAATCTACGCAGCGAACGCCGTGGCCTAACGTACGCTGGTGGCTTTTACCCTGGCCGCCAGGATATTTTTCCTGCAGATCACAGAGGCCACGTTATTATGGAACCTAGCATACTTCTAACGTTGATTGATATGTGGGGTTTAACGTCCCAAAACCGCCATATGATTATGAGAGACGCCGTAGTGGAGGGCTCCGTAAATTTCGACCACCTGGGGTTCTTTAACGTGCACCCAAATCTGAGCACACGGGCCTACAACATTTCCGCCTCCATCGGAAATGCAGCAGCCGCAGCCGGGATTTGAACCCGTGACCTGCGGGTCAGCAGCCGACATACTTCTAACGTTGATGGCGCTGATAAGCATGCGAAAATCCTTGCATCTCACATGCGACTTATCTAGTTGAGTAAAACGCATCAAGGTACATTAAAGTGTTGTCGCACGCTTCACTTGCTGCGTACGCAGCGTAGTTTTTAACAGCGTACGCAACTTCTCCATACGCCCGACTAAAATGTCCAATATATTGAGCTCGGTGAAGCGCAGTAAACTAAAAAAAGGACGCTCTGTCATCCACCCACCCATTGACCTAAAAGAAAGGAAAGGAAGCCACGTGGTCCCGAAGATCACTCGGAGACCACCACGTTCTTTTAAATGCGGATCAATTCTTCGTCGCACAATGTCGCGCTTCGGCGTCGGCGCCATCGGCACCTCAACTGCGCATGCTCGCCTCGTCTCATGCTTCGTCTCGTCTCCCTCGAACGCGGGCGTTATGTATATAAGCGGCGGAGCGCGCGTTCAGAATTCAGTCGAGGGCGTCCTTCGGGTCCTCTCGGACGTGGCTGGAGTGAGACGCTGTGCGGACGTGCTTCGCATTTTCCTAGTGGCCGACTATCAGTGAACGCGCTTTGTTCTGGACTTGCTCTTAGTGGGCTCGTCTTCAGGAAGTTGCCCTGTACCTACGGACGCCACTCGTATATACAAGTTTGTCCCCGTTTTAAGCGTTTCCAAGATTTTCCTCTCAATCCCGTGGTGGCAAGGCTAAGCCTATCACCTAGGCTAAGCCTGGGCCGAGACGTCGAGCGTCAGGCTTGCGCCCGGCAACCGTTGGTCTTGTGAGGCTGAAGATGGACTACCGCGTCGAAGGTGAGACTATAACGCCCGAAGGTTTTGAGGCGCGAGAGTGGGCTCCGGTGCTGAAGGCACACGACCGATTTGAGAAGACTTTGTGTGGCGACAATGCCAAGAGTAAGCCTTGCGAGACGCAGGCTGGCAGCTACGGGCGCTAGACACATGGAGCGCAGCAAGTTAAGCGGGGGAAAGCGCCGGTACGGAAGAAACGCGGGCCGATTTCAAGATCGCAGCCACGGATTTGCAGGTTGTGTACAGGCCCCAGAGCTGGGACATAAGTATCGTGACAGCGAGATAACTCGAATGTGCACTGAGAGCAGCAGCGCGTCTAACGAGTAGCACGGAAGAAGGCCTTGTGCGGGTTAATGGCACGGGCAACACGCTGACTTAACACACCGTGTATGAATCGCAGTGGGGCATATGCGACCGTGAAGATGCTCAAGCTGGGTGATAGTGACGTGCTGGTTTCGGCAATCGTGGCACCGTTGGAGAACTCCGTGGGGGGGAGTGATTTACAATGCTTATGATGGATGCCCAGTGGAAGAAGTTCGGGTGGGATTCCTGAAGAATGAAGGCATTACTATTCTGGGCGCAAGACCTCTGGGCAAGGCTAAGGCAATTCAGATTACGTTCGGGGGAAAAAGTATACCCCGGCAGGTCACTTACTCGAACTGTCTGCACGCTGTGATCCCGTATAGAGATTTAGTCGAAACCTGCTACAACTGCAGACGAGTTGGAGATCGAGTGGACGATTGCTATCATCCGAAGAGTAACCTATTTCGTGGGAAGGAACATCCTGCCCCGCCAGAAGGAGAGCCACTGACGTGCACGCCGGACTACATCGTGTGCCATGGTGCTCATCACACAGGGAGCCGGAAATGCAAGTTTCACCTGGCCCGCAAGCCACCGACAGGCCGGCAGCAGAGCATCGAAAGAGAGCCAAGTTCCCAAGGATGAGCGATCCTCGTGGGGTAAAGAACGCAGAAGCGAAAGCAGGGACCAGTCGAGTTCCTTCCCGTCATTGCTATGGGCGGGGGCGGCCAAGAGGACGAACGAGTATCCAGTCCCAGCAGCCACGCACGTGACACCATCAAAAAAATTGCCCGCAGCTTCCCTCGGGGGAACACTGAGGAGGATGCGGAGCATATAATTGGTTAACGGGGTGTTAAAGTGCGACTTACTTGGGTCGATGGCTAAATTGGTTAACGTGGTTGTGAAATGGGGTGTTAAATTGCGACTTACTTGGATCGCTGGCTAAATTGGTTAACGTGGTTGTAGGAGGGGTGTTAAATGAGTGAACACGTACGACACGTATGCGAAAGGGCGGTGTTTATTTATTGCGACGAACTTTGAGCACGATGGCTTTTAGATGCCACTTTGGCCGGCGCTGGTCGAAGGGACGTCGATCATTGCGACCTCGGACGTCGACGCGCCGTACAAACCAACCGACGAGCGGCAACTGAGCGAGCGAGCACCGACCTTGAGTATATATACAGCGCGACGGCGCATGCACTGTCAGCTGTCGAATGTTCGAGAAGGGGGAGAAGCGCAACGGCGCATGCGCGCGCGTCAGCTGCCGATGTTCTCGAAGCGCGACGGCGCATGCGCGCACGTCAGCTGCCGATGTTCTCAAAGCGTGACGGCGCATGCGCGCTACATTATACAGCTAGCGAATGTTCGTGAAGAGGAGAAGCGCACGCGGTGTGTAGAGGAGGAAGGGTGCACAGATGGTGGAGGAATGAAGCGCGCGCGGTGTGTAGAGGAGGAAGGAATGCACAGATGGTGGAAGAAGGAGGAGGAAGCTTGCGGACGGCGCTGCACTACAAGCCTCGAGTATTAGATGCTCCGCATCTAAAAGGTGAGCTTGTCAAACGCGGGCTCTCAGAACAAAACTGCTGGAGAGGGGGAGTAAGCAGCGATGGTTCAGCGGCAGGGCGATTTGATTAAAAGAATGGAGGATAGAACTGCAGAGATGAAACGCGCACTTAAAAGCAGCCTACTACAAGGTGTACAGGCACCAGTAGTGCAAGGCCTACAGAAAGCGATGCAAGCGGCGTCTGCTCGTGTACTGGAGAGCACGGCTATGAAAGTGGAGAATAGGGGGACAGTCAAGAGACCACTGCCGGTAGATGAGGGAGCTAAACTCGACGACAACTTTTTTTGGCATAGGATCGAAGGCTACAGAGCCAAATCGCGGGCATCCTACCACCAGTGAATGTAGTTCCACAACAGCGCCTATATTTTCACCGTAAAATATAGACGTTCCCGCTTTATTTTCTACGTGGAGCTATTTGAGACAGGGAGCCGGTCACACCTGTAATATATTCGTATTTTTTAAATTATTCTGTTGTGACTTCCCGTTTTTGAACGCGTGGAAAAGTTCCGCTTTTTTACGTGCACTTGAAACGCTAAGCGGCGTCTGCGTCTACGCTGATGGTGCGCCCCCATCACTTTGCACAATGTTGCGAGACATGCGCGAGAACGGACTATTTCGCGTAGTCCTACATGTGCAGAAGCTCCGCCTCTGTAGCTTTCCCTTCAGTGGCAAGAAAAGCTGTCGCCTTGTATAATGCAAAACGGTTAGCCAAAACGTCACCGGTAGACATTCCTCATCTGGTTTTTAAGGTCACTAATCTTAAGACGGAACACCCTTGCTCATAAAGTAGGCAAACAGGGGGAAAGACAGGATAGGTCGGAGGCTCGAGTCGAAAAAATATAAGCCAGACTAGAGACAATAGAGGAGCATCTCGGCACGCTTGCTAGTTCATTCCGAGCTTCCGGAACCCAGGTAATGGGCATGTTTCAGCAGCTTCTTCCTCTACTGGGAGCAGGACTGGCTCCTGTGGTTGGCCAAGCGCCATTAGTCAACCTGGTGCCTCATCATGGCTCCTCGCCAGTAAATTGAGGTTTGGCAGTGGAACTGCAGGAGCTTCCGTGGCAAGCGGGGTAACCCGCATTTGCACGTACAAAATCTGGATTGTAATCTGGACATAATAGCCTTACAGGAGGCTAGTGGTTCCGTGAAATCACCTGGATTTAAAGCATTACATCGCCAGAGATTGATTCAAGGGCCGTATCATGCGTATTTACAGCCGTGCTAGTCCATCGCAACATCACTTTCATTCAGCATGCCGTAGATAGCTGTAGGGAAGACTACGTCCTGCTAGAGATTTTACCTAAACAAAAGGATAAAAAGGGTCTGGTTTTACCTATGTGTAAAGTTTTCCAAAAGATAAAGAATTGGGCTTGCCACAACTCCTGATTCAAACTCCACGGTTAGCAGCTAGCGCTCAGCTTGTAGTGGTAGGAGATTTCAATGCGCCTCACCCGGAGTGGGGTTATATCCGAGCCAGCCCAAAGGGCAATCGGCTTTGGAAAGTTGTTTGGGATCTGCGATGGACGCTGTTCAACAATTTGCAAGGTCATACGAAGATAGGCAACAGCATAAGCATAAATGCTTCTCCAGGCCTTACGTTTTTTAGAGGTATCAGTAATGCAAAGTGGATTAACACGGGACAAGCACTAGGAAGTAATCACTATATCCCTTTCACGGCGTTTAGCGCTGCGAAGCATAAAGACAAAGTGAAGGGTCCCAAAATTACTGATTAGGACAGCACTGTCAACGGTAATATTATAGACCTGGACGCGTGGGTAGAGGCGTTGAGGGAGGGTGTAAAGAGTACCATGGTAGAAGTTCCCGTCGACCAGGGGGAGTTGACGGTGGACTCTAAACTATTACACGTGTGGGAAGCGCACGCGACTTTCTTGAGAAAGTGGAAGAAGCGAAAACATAATGGTATCCTTCGCAGAAGGACGGCTAAGTTAGAACGTAAAATCGAAAATTATACACTTGAGTTGCAAGCCAAGCAGTGGGGCCATATTTGTGATTGGATAAATGGACAGTTTCTATGAAAAGTGACCAGGCAGTTGTGAAGGCATCTTTTGGAACCGGCAGCAACCGAACTGACGCAACGGGGACAAGTGACTCCATTAATGCATCAGTATGAAGGCACAATAGGAGAATTTATACAGGAACTCAGAAATCGGTACATAACTGATGGAGCACATGGTTGCTTACCACACTATACTCGGCGGTGGCAAACAGAAGTAGATGAAGATTTTACGATTGTGGATGTAGAATTTGCCATGGCGCAGCTGCGTACTACGACGGCCGCAGGCCTGGGTGGGGTTGCTAATAAAATGCTGAGAAACCTAGATTTGAAATCGGTTGGCGCAATCACGGACTTGTAAAATGAGTATTGGGTGGCCGGGCAGATCCCAGCGCAGTGGAAGCATGCTAGAATTTTATTTGGCATGCTTCCATTACCTGACTAGCAAGCCGAGCAATATACGCGGTATGCTGAAGAGATTCGTCAACTGGCTCGCGTAAACATCGGTCACCAACAAGACGCAGTATGCGCGACTTTACAACCTTCGCCGTCGAAATGCCTCATACCACCCTGGTGAACGAGTGTGGACTCCTACCCTACGACCAGGCTTGTCTGAAAAGCTTCTGAGCCATTATTGTAAACCATACAAGGTTATATGACGTGTGAGCGACCTTACCTACCAACTACTTCGAACGGCACAGTGTCTTTACGTCGACAAGATCAACCCGAAACTGCGCATGTCGTACGACTCAAGCCGTACTACACACAGCACTCAGCGTGTTTGTTACTTCTGTTAACGTGTCACAGTGATCTCTTGTGGTGGTATTTTTTCTCCTAGTCGTTTGTCGGTGTTTTAGTGTTTGCGCATGGCACAGTAGCTGCTGCGCCCCCTTTGTTTTTTTTCTGGTACTCACTCTTGGATGCTCTCTATTTATTATGACGTGTTGTATTTATGTTCTTTTTAATTTACAAGCAACAAGTCGATGCCTTTTCAAAAGGGGACTAAGGCCGCATGGTTTCGCGTGCGTTCATGTGGAAGAAGTTTGGACTGAGCCACTTATTGGCCGATGATTTGCAGGAGTTTATTAAAGCTTCAAGGAGATTCATACTGTAAAAGATATTATTACTTCTAAACTACTTTTTTCCAAATTGCGTTATTCATTAATTTGTTTATTGTTGTTGCTGAAACTATCTGCTTCATTTTATATATTCGTTGTTTCTAATTGTCCATTTCTCATGTTTAATTTTTGCCATTGATCTCTCTCATTAGTTGAGCTAATGAGCTAACATGAGCTAACAAATTAACAGTATTTCGTCAGAACTACCCGGTTCTTCGCCGATCTCCTATCATGGGTGTGTGCCACGGTTTCCAGGCTCTTCCTTTCTTTCTTTCTTTCTTCTTGGCCTAGCTCAACAAGCGGCACAACGAAAGGTTGCCTTGAGCGCAGTAATATGAAGCAATGAAAACCACTCGTTTCGTGGCTGATCACCTGTGGTTGGTTGCGAATAAGAATAAACAAATTTAGAAATGGAGTTTATCCAGGTTTGAACAGCTCGGCTGTTTAAACGTTCGAAGCTTGCTTTGTCATTAGGCGTCCTCATTCAGTCTACGAAGGGCTTACAATGGGACTATGTAACAATTTTCTAAGTTGCCATGTAAGGGCCTCACTATTGGTTTCCAAATATCTCTAAGCCGAAATGTATGAGCGGCGTTGAATTAAGCAGTATAATATGTTTTGAATAGTAGCACCTTTTTTTAGGTTAAAAGCTGGGATAAATCATGCACCAAAGTCTAGATACTATTAATCCTGCACATGTGAACACGCGTCATGGGCGCCATGTTAAAACGCCGTTTTATGAATAGATTTATCATCACCTTTTCTCTTTGCTGTAAAACAAAGTGTGTTGAACGGAGGCACTTTCTTTGTTGTTTTCTTTGTGAAGGATAGTTTAAAATAACAACAAAAAAGAGCAAGCATGATATTGAAAGGTCATGTCTGTACCACGTTTAACCATGCAGCAACTGTGGAAACATGTTGATTTTGCATTGCATTAAGAGTCAGCTACGGGTGATGCAAGAGTGCGCGTGTCCCCGCGTTCCTTTTCCGCCGAAAATATTACCCATGCACACGAATGACTCTTTAGCAGCTCATTTTGTTTTTTTTGTTAGTGTACCTTACGACATCGATACATTTTACATACAATTGTGCGGCTGTGTTTAAGGAGTTCTAAAATTTGTTCCCAACAGTGAGACGTTTTGCGCCCTACTCGGTTGATAATAAAATCCCGGGACGACAAATGGGAAAGCATGCCTCGTGTTCGCAGGTACGGCCTGCCTGTTGCCCTTTCTGACGGTGCACATGCGTCAGCTTGGACTGAGCGTTGAGGAGACCGCCATAATATACAGCATCGTGCCGTTCGCTCAGCTGCTGGGACCGTACGCAGCGACCTTCTTGGGAGACAAGTACGGCAGTTACAAGTGCGCGCTGCTGGGTTGCCTGATGCTGACCGCGCTATCTGGCACCAGCCTGCTATTGGTGCCACAGGCCCTGGGTCCCCCCGTGCCTCCACCCGCGATTCACCTGCACTGTGGCCCGTCGTTTGAGCTCGAGGTGGTGGTAGACCACTGCGGTGACGAGCATGGGGCATGTCCCGAGCCCTCGCCGGGACTGGCGCTACCCGTGCTGCTCTCGGACTGTCGCCCCGAGTGCCCGGACACCGAGTGGCTTCATGCCATCGACGAGACGGGCATCTGCTTCGCGGACGACCACGGTAACAAGGAGTGTCACGTGGTGAGCGAGAATGACACGCTGGCGCGCAGCACGTCTCTCGGCCTCTACCTGGAGCCTGCCCGGGATCCTGACCTGCTGTGCCTGCACCCGGTGACGGCCATCACGTGGGAGAGCAGGATATTTCACAACGTGTCCTGCCTGAAACATCTTCCAGACCAGGACCACACCAACTGCTCGCTCAAGTGCACCGTCGAGGACACCGAGGAAGTGGACGCCGTGTCGGCCGCCGATTTCTGGCACGCCGAATGCACGCCGCCCGAAGGCAGTGACCGCCGCATCACCATCTCGGTTTACTTCGTGCTGCGGATCATATTTCAGGTGCTCGTCTCCATATGCTTCACACTGCTGGACGCCACCACTGTGTCGATGGTGCACGCCCACGAGGGACGCTTTGCGTGGCAGCGCTTCTGGGCCATCGTGGGCTCGGTATTCTGCGCGCCGCTGTCGGGGTTCTTCATCGACCTGAGCAGCGAGCACGTGGTCACGGGTTTCGACTACTCGCCCGCTTTCTACATGTTCAACGTGTTCACTGTGCTCACGGCAATCTTCACGTATGTACTGGAAATCCAGGTGGCCACTCCCGGCAGGAACGTCTTCTACAAGGCGCGGCGACTCATGAAGCAGCCGCCATTCTTGAGCCTCTTCTTGTTTGTGCTCTGCCTCGGAAGCGTCTACGGCTTCCTCGAGTACTTTCTGTTCTGGTACCTGCTCGACCTCGGTGCGGCCAACTACCTCCTCGGGCTGACCATATCTGTCGGCGGGTTCGCCGGCTTTTTATTTCTTTACGAAACCAAGTGGTTTATGGACAAGTTGGGCGTCGTCAACATCATCGCCCTCTCCGGCCTGGTTTACTGCGCCCGGTTAGTGGGCTACTCGTACATTGGCCAACACCCGTTGTGGTGCATTCCCCTTGAAGGACTTGAAGCCATGACGTTTCACCTTCTGTGGGTAGCCATCGGCACCTACGGTACGCAGATTGCGCCCAGGGGACTCAAGCCAACTGTACAGAGCTGCGTCGGGGGTATTTACTTCGGCCTCGGTAAGTACTTCCTTAGTTCGCCATTTCGAGTTGTCTTTGGCGCCACTTCCTTCTTATGTGACTGTCACTGAACAGCGGTTTATATAATTGATATTAGAAAGGACAAGAAAAGATTTGGGTCATTAATAAAGATTAAATAAAGATTAGGGTCAAAGATCATTATGTGTATAAATACGAATACCGTATAAATACGGTGTTGTCCTATTCGACAAGACTATGTTTAATGAATGAACGCTCTGTTTTTGCTTTCAGGGAGTACATTTTTCTTGTGCTTATCTTTATTTTGTTTCGAGGGTATTTGGGGTCAATTTCCTGACTGCAATTTTATGCGATTGTTCTTTTTAAGCTGTTGTCAGTAGCTCAGTGTTACTATTGTACGTGTATAGTCCCTAGACTGCAGGCATGGTAGATCTGCGAGCAATAAGGTTTGAACCAGTATCGAGGCCCGTCCCAACATTGACAGTCGGACGTGCTGAACTCGAACATGCTGACAATAATGGTTAACGATGGGCCTTTGAGCCTCACGCTCATTGCGCACTGCACTTGCTGTTGCCACAAAGTACGGCAGTGAAACTTGTTACGACTCGCACTGCCGCCGACACTGCTGCGTAGTGCGGCGAGGTCATGGGCCTACAAGGTTGTTCAGTAGCACGTTTCCCAGCTCGCGGCTACTTCTGCGCAGAGCTGATAGACGTCCGACTCAGGAATTTCGCGCACACGCAGCACCACCTGTCGACGCAGTTTTGAGTAGTGCAAAGCCTGACTCCCTTGCACAGTTTGCGGCGCTACCAGGTGCAACTACAGCGTAGAAAACATTGATTGAGCTAAATATTAGGTGTATTTAAGCATTGAACTCTTAGAAAAAGAGCCACTAGTGTTTCAGGCGCGTCACCGAACCGCCGTGAAGTGCTTGCTGGTTCATTCGCAAGAACGATAGCGTAAACAAGAGCAGACGCAACAGCTCCACGCTCTACAAAAAAGACCCCAGCCGACGCTACAGTTTCATTGTGAATTGCTACGGACGTTAAGGACTTCGTTTTATTGTTTTCCGCAGCTTTCGCGAAGCAGAACGGCGAGAGCACTGGACATGGGCTGTTGTGTTGGGTAAGCAAACGCTCGCGTTGTCTACAGCGATTCGCGTGGGAAAGTGTGATAATGTAGGTCCCCTGTTATTGTTTTGAGTAGCTTTGATATCAAGGGGAACCGTAGTAACTCCGATTATGAAGCTTAACAGAGTCTCGGACCGTGGTGCGCACCGTACAGCAGTAGACAGGTGACGTGCACGATAAACATCGCACACGCCGCGAGTGCCGATAACCGAAGCCCCACAGAATTACGCCTGAGGGCTTTCAAGGCTCTAAGTTTCGGCTTTATCTATGAAATGCGAACATACACGTCATACCGGTAAATTGCAAAATGATCGTGACTGCAATAATTTTTTTCTGGCCGTTTGTCTCCGTGATGGCCGGATCTATCTGTGAGGTTTCGGTTTTACAATTCGTTGTACACCGAGAAAGTGGACACACATGCATCCCCGTTTACAGTACATAAGAACGAATTACAACCATCAACAGAACATTCTAGCATGCGCAGTAAAACAGTTCAACGCACAGGAAGTGAGAGATCGATAGAGAATGCAACTGCAATGGCAAACTAGACAGGGCTATTTGTGACGAAGAAAGGGAACGTCGTACCACTGATCGTAGGACAGATTGCTCGTGTATGCCCTTCATCGCTTTGGCATCATATTTGCGCCCAAGTTAACGAATTTAGGCGTTACAGAACGAGCGTCAGTGTGCTTGCTTGTAACTCAATGCCATGCGATGCTCGCTTGCACATAAAGTGCCAGTTGCAGTACGCCGAATTAACTGAAACAGCATTCACATTGTACCCACTGTTTGTTTTGATGAGCTTCCTACTTTTCGAAAGCGAAGCTAGATTAAAAAAAGAAGCTTGCCAGGTCCTTGATTTTCAGGAAACTGCGCCTCAAGGCCAACGAAGGAGGAGGACCTCTGCACGTTCACTTGAGGACAGCTCTCTGTGCACTACCAATTTGCGGCCTGCGCGTCGATGGGGACGCTGATGGTGGCGTTTTTCGCAGCGCCGCCTGGGCAGAATCTGGAGTCTCTCTGACGCATACGTCAGCTGCTTGGCGATGCGCAGCTTGGATTTTTTTCATAGGCCCCGGGTGAACCCTTTCGTCACCAATATCCAATCAGAAGCGCCACTGGCCGCGATGTCAGATTCCTCCAGTCAGCAACCACCGCTGGGTTGCACCGACGGATAAGTGATGTTGCCACGCATTGCGTATGACTCGCCTGACTAGATGACACCGATTGCATCATCGGGTTGCTATCAAGCCCGCTGGTTGAGGGAGCTCGCCATGCGTTGCGTAATACACACCAGCGCCGCCGTGCTCGCTCGCTGACCTTGACACACATTGCCTTTGCAGAGGCAATGACGTTCGGTCTGGACTCCCAGGTGTAACAGCACCCCCACCGCCAGACAATGCGCCGGAAAGACGAGCTGCTTCGACATGGCTCGAATGTCGGGCACGCTCGTTTGACAGGTCCCTCTAGGTTCACCTCCAGGGCCATGAGGAGGATGGAGCTCCAGGCTGAGTTCCGTGAACACGCCTCATTCTTGAGGACGGATCCCAGCTCCACTGGCTTGTCACCAAAACTTGTCGACTAGCTTCGCTCGTCTCCTCTGACGATTCTGGTCTCAGCACTTGTCGATGGCTTTGCAACTTGTCAAGAATGGTTCGGCAACAGACTACACATCATCATCCATCCGGCAGCTGTGACAGCTTAACTCGACTCGTCAGGCGTGAACTTGAAGCGGCCGCCCCTGCTACAGCACCACCAACTTCACCTCACTCCACTCCTTCAATTTTTTTGCCCTTTACTCAAGCCGTTGTACAACAGGAAATCACCAACATGAGCATATGCTCTATTTCGACGCCTTCCCGTACCGACTGACGGCAATAATTACGTCCGCACGTCCATCACCATCTGGCTCTTCATCGACGTTCCACAATTCTTTCGCATGGCGAACACCTGATGACAAGCCACATGCTTCTCTTGTCACCTTATCGGCACATTTCTTGTCATTGCAGAAGCCATTAGGGCCCTCCTGCACAACCGTTCCAGCGCTCCTTCAATGCCCGACCCACTTATCGTCAAGAGACCAGCCCCGACCAGTTTGCCCATCAGGAACCTGTGACTGATCGCCGCTACTCCCGATCTCCATCCCCTCAACGTCGCCAGTCTCGTTCTCCACGACCCTACCGCCCACCTTCCCCCGCCTATCCCCGATGGAAAACTAAATGTAGCAGCCCCTTGGAGGTGATGCTGCATCAATTGGATTCACCGAAAATCCTATACTGACAGTACAGACGAAACGGAACCTTATCGACGTGAAAATCGACGGTGTGCATGTGACTGATCTGGTGGACACTGGGGCTCAACTTTCTGTCATGACCACTTATTTTAGCGGTGAGCTCAAAAAAGTCCTCACGCCTGCGACGACTCAGTTCATACGCGTTGCCGACGGCGGAACTGCATTTGTCGGAATGTGCGCCGCTCATGTAAGCATCGCTGATCGCCACACAGTTGTTCTTTTTATCGCCCCCGAAAAGTGCCCACACGACGTTATTCTAGGCCTCGGCTTTCTATAGGCACATTTTGTCCTCATTAACTGCTCGGCCAGCACGCTCCATCTTCGATTATCCATCACAAACCCCTCTGAACAACGACGGAGTCGCCTCTGCTCTGCCGGATATGCTCGTCTTCCACCTCAAACACTGACCTACGTCCAGTTCGAATCAAACCCACCAGTTCTCGATGGAGACTATGTACTGACTCCCGTCGCTGATGTCCTCATCAGCCGTGGTATTACGTTACCGCACACCATTCTGTCTGTCATAGGGAATTCCATGAGCGTGCCTCCCAGTTGTGAATTTCAGTCGGACACCTCAGATGCTGCCACAAGGTATCGCTTTGGCACTGCTTTCCACCTTAGAAGACGACACAGTGATCGTTTTCAACATGGACAAGTAGGTGGATGATTGCTCCTAATCTAACAGCCCAGCAGACTGAAGAGCTTCACCGCGTTCTACTGTTTTACATCGACCTTTTCGACCTCGGCGGCCATCCATTGGGGAATGCTACTGGAGTGACCCACCGCTTCAACACTGGTGATGAGCCTCCTATTCACAGGCGTCCACATCACGTGTCATTGATGGAGCGTCAGATTATCTAAACTGAGGTAGACAAAATGCTTGCCGAGCACATCATCGAACCATCCTGCAGTCCTTGGGCAGCCCCTGTCGTGCTAGTCCGCAAGAAGGATGACACATGGCGTTTCTGCGTCAATTATCATCATTTAAACAAAATTACAAAAGTATGTACCCTCTGCCACGAATAGATAACGCTCTTGATTGTCTCTATGGTGCCCACTATTTCTCCTCTATAGGCCTACGTTCCGGGTACTGGCAGATTGAGATGGATGCCACAGATCGGGAAAAGACGGCATTTATTACACCCGATGGCCTATATCAATTCTAGGTCATGCCCTTCGGCCTCTGTAACGCTCCAGCCACGTTTGAACGGAAGATGAACTCGCTGCTCAGAGGCTTTATATGGTCAACCCGTTTGTGCTATTTGGACGATGTCCTTTTTTCACCTAAATTTGAAAGTCATATAGATCGCCTATCAGTCATCTTAGACATCTTTTGTCGTGTTGCCCTCCAGCTGAACTCATCTAAGTGCCACTTTGGGCGCCAGCATATTACAGTTCTTGGCCATTTAACAGACGCTAACGGCATACAACCTGACCCAGCAAAAATCAGCGCAGTCAAAAAATTTTCTGTGCCACGATCTTCAAAGGATGTACGCAGCTTCCTCGGAGTTTGCTCCTACTTCCGTCGCTTCATCAAGAATTTAGCCGACATAGCGAGGCCATTTACGTGGCTCCTCAAGCAAGACGTTCCCTTGGGG